TATATATATATATATATATATATATATATATATATATATATATCGCCTGTAATTTATGATGCTCTGTAGTTGGAACTTAGTCCTTCTGCAGAAAGTCATGTGAGAGGAACTGTCTCGTCACGCAAAAAGTAAAGAGGTGTTCTTTGGTCAGCCGATAAATAGCCATCACCTTGCCATGAAAACCCTCTACAGTATGGCCAAGGATGGGCTTGTTCCATTTTCCCGAGAGGTTAGTTCTGTGTACGATCTATGTCCTGTCGCATTTCACGTCCTTGTCTACTGGGCCTATAGTAGAGTGCACTGGGAATACTGTTGAAAGGTCATAAGTCGTTCGTCGTTTAGAATATGGTAATTTCTAAAGGTGAAATTCAAGGTCAAGTAATACTAAAATTAGGTCGTCCCTGTTCTGCTGGCTCCGTCATTTTGGATACTGCATATGTTAAAGTTGGAGTTGGAGGAGGCAGTGACCCTAGGGCGGATGCAGGATTTGGTGGTAGTTGGTACGTGCACGGGCCATCTTTGTTTTGAAAGGTGGGGGACATTTCATGGAAATAGGCCTAATATACCTGTAGATGACCGGAATTGACAATTTTAGGCCCTATATAGTAAAATTCATCATCATCACCTCACCATTATATAGTCAAATTGATGCGCCAACAAATTGCCATGATCTTTTATCAGCGATTTTCGACAAACATAGAGATCTAATTAACATGTTTGGTGTAGTTTAGTGTACGGTACTATAGAAAATAAAACTTAAAAACATTGTGTTTTGATGTATTTACTCTACCTACTTCAAAACCGGGAGTCCGCACCCATCTTAGCCCCACCACAGTTGGGGCTGAGGTGGTACAATTTGGGGAAATAGTACCTCTAGATTGCCTTATAGGACACTCTTATAGTAAAATTCATCATCAACGATCTAATTAATCGCTGTGATGTATCATATAAAATAAAACTTAATTGTCTTTGATATATTTACTTTAATTAAGCTATTTCATGTTCAAAACAAATCCTATTTTTGCATGCTTTTTTTTTTCATACTTCTCAAATGTAATAAAGGCGCGCGCACTCGTGGCAGCGATGCCGGTATGTTGCTATAAATGATGTACTCTGTCTGTACAGCGCTCTTTCGTTAAAACATAGGTCGTTTATGCAGTATATTTCAACAATTTTATGACGTCTTCCTGACTTATGAAATTGCATTGCGGACGAAAAGGTAGGGGACCAAACCTTCCCCCTTAAAATATGTGGGGGGGCGTGTCCCCTTCCCCCATGATCTGCGGCCATGGGTACATGAGAGTCCACACGATCTCCAACATGAGGTGCAAAAAGTTTGAGAATATGGACTTCTGGGTGTCCGGAAATTGCAATCTCTTTATGAAATAGGCCTACATGTACTTATTTCAATATAGTTTTTTATCTAAATGTATTCTAGATTTTTTACTTTTTCTTATTTCTTTCTTAGGTCGTATCCTGGTCGCTCTGGGGTAACTGCAGCAGATCATGTGGGGGAGGGTTAGCTGAACGCGTCAGTATTTGCCATGGGAACAAGTAAGTTAATTAGACCTTAGCTTGTTCTTTTATATATATTTTTTAATTGTTCATATTCTGTGCCAGTATGTAGCCTAAAAATCGGGAAACATTCTACTGTACTCTCTGCAGCCGATCGACCAGTGGCCGATGGGAATGCGCCGTTTACCTATGAAGCTATAATATATTAATTTCTACGATTACGATATTCGTAGTGGCAGCTCATCCCTCATAGGTATGATCATCCAACATTACATATTCAGTTTCATAGGTAGCATAGTTGATAGATAAAACAACCGTCCCTAATTTTTTTAATGGGGTTCGTTATCTTTTGCTGTCTAAAACGCGACGAAAATATTCAGTGCCGTAAAATGTAGAGGCAGGTTAGGTTATCGCTATTCGAAACATGTAAGCTGATAATGAAAAGAAAAATGTATTTTAGTAGCCCAATGTCACATCGAACCGGAATAAGGTTTTGATAAGCCGTGTTGACACCGAGACCCAACCCTATGAAGTGCCGCATAATCCGCAACACTGGAAGTATGTCGGCTATAATACTGGTAGCATTTGAGAATTGGTACAGTACGGTGTAACCAACACGGCATTGAGTTTTATATTTGGCAGTGGCTACTGTTACACCGGTCTTAAATAAATTCTGTTTGGATGTTATTGTATGTATGGATTGGATTATGAGAATATGATTATGATATCTGAATTGTGAACTAAATAAACGCACAGTACAATTTACTTTATTTATTTATTTATTTTTTATTTATTTATTCTGGTTTATTCACATCGAAATATATTTCGTGGCAACACAAAGGCTGAACTGAGAAATATCAACAAAATTCGACATAAAAAACAATTATAAACTAATTAAAACGATTGCACTCAACAACAAATGAAAATATTTAAAAAAACAAATTGGCTAAATTTGAATTACATATCTAAAATATTCAGGTTAACAACATCAATAAAAATTAATAAGGCCTAAATTTGATATTACACTAGAATTAATTAAAATTTTATTTACAATTGTTTAAATCAGATAATACACTAGAATTAAATTTAAAAAAAAAACAAAAAAAAAACAAGTCAACAGCATCCCAATAAAAATTAATAAGGCACTAAATTTGATATTACACTGGAATTAACATTGTATTTACAATTATTTAAATTAAATTACTTGTTCAGTATACCGGTATATTCAGTGTACCGTAGCTTATTCAATTAAATGAATTTACGTTTCGATATTATTACAAATTAAAAACAATTTATATTTGGTTTAAACTGATTGTTTAGTTTAATTGACATTTTTACGTCTGATTATTATTCATAAAGAAGACACACCAATTAATAATTTTTTCTCTTAAATCCTAATATATATA